TATATATATATATATATATATATATAGTACTAACAAAATCACGTAGAAGACAATGTATTTTTATCAATAACTGTAAAATTAAAATATAAATATACTATTTAAGTTTCTATAAATGAAAAAAAAGAAGAAGATAGTGAGTACAAGAGATATGTAATATTTTTAGAAACTTGTTAATATAATAATTTTAATTGGACATAAAATCAAATAAGAAATATTATGTTATGACATATTTAAAATATATGTAAATTTTTATGAGTAAATATAATAGTACATGCACGAAGAGTGTAAAGGATTTTAACATTATTAAGTGTTCTAATAAAAAATGGACTTACATGATATATTTTTTTAGTTTTTACAATAATTATTTTAAAAGTAAATTTTAGATGGTTCTTAATTTATTGACGAAGTAAAGATCTTTTATATTATTTTTATCAGGAGAAAAAGTTACAAAAATGACAATATTTGGAAAGGGAGTAATGGGTTTTGGGTAGAAGCGTGCTTGACACCCAAGTTCAAAACTTTTAATTCATAAAAATTAATTATAAAAATATAATTAAATGTAATATTAAAATGTTACAACAGTAATTTTACGTGAAGAATTAAATACAAATTTATGGAGACTTATCAATAATTGAAATTAACTACTGTATTACTAAACAATTTAGTTTTAAAAATAGAATGCATTAATTTCAGTAATTAAAACTACTCATTAAACAATTAGATGCAAATTATGAAAAGTCTATCATTTGAAATACACATTAAATAATTGTTGAGAATAGAATATATTAGTATGAAGACCTTTTTAGTTTTTAATGGCCGATCAAACAATAAAATTTAGGTAACCATAATTGGTAAATGCATTAAATTATTAAATGTTCAAAATATACTAACACAATTTATTAAAGAAATAATAAAATAATTAAGAGATGTCTAAAATACTTCTAGCTTAAGCGTAAAAAAAATGCGTCAGAAGTAAAATTTAACTTATGTTGTTTAGTATATGAAATTTATTTGTAATTAAGTTACTAGCATTTTTAATCACACCTAAAATCTTTCAATATAGTTAGTAAATAACTAGGTTCTTTAAATATATTGATATAGGAGTTTGATTCTTTAACCAATAACCACATGTAGATAAAAAAAAAAAATTGTTATTAACAAAGACAATTTTCTTAAATGATCTTTTGTATTTGAATGGGAGTAATTTCCAACTATTAGTTGGAGATATGATTCCATCTCAGAAAATAAAAATAATTCTAATCATATTTATAGCAAATACAAGAAGTACGCGTAAGGTTATAGGCTCGAACTATGAACTTCTATAGATCAAAAGAAAAATTGCAAATACAAGATGAATCAAGTTACCATTGCAATTTATATCCTCTGTGCTTTCAAGAAATTGCGATGAAGTATTTTTTATTCAATACAATACAACTTTCTTGAATGTGCTATTTGATAGAAATAAAGAAGAAGAAAAATACAACTTTCTCGTGAAGGCTCCGTAAACTCGTATCGTAAACTCATCTCGTAAACTCGTAAGAGATTACTCAATAAACAAAATTATAAAAATAATTAAAAATTATATAATAATTAAACATTTTAACTTTATATTAAAGAGTAAAATAACAAATTATATTAATAATAAAATAATTTATTAAATATAGCAGGATTACACTATTCTAATTTATTTATATATATATATATATAAATATTAGATAATTTATAATACAAATAATTAATAATATACATATAAAAATAAAAATATAACTATTTATACATTAAATATTTTTAATAATAAAAATTTATAGTAGTTAAACAAAATAAAAAAATTAAGAAAACAAAATATTTAAGGTCTTATATTAAATTTTGTATTACTTAAAATATTATCTAAATTATAATAATAATAATTAATAATTAATAAAGAGAGGTTACTTTCTAAAAAAAATAATGAAGTAAAAACCCTCTTAACCAAATCAAAACAAAAAATAAAACTTGGCCCATTTGGCCCATATTCCAACCCTAATTATTTTTCCTGCAATGCAACCCTTCCTCAAGCCGTCGCCGCTGCCTTCCCTCTTAGAAGAAGACAGATCTGCAGATGCCGGGGAAGACAGAGCCACTGTCAGAGAGGATAGATCGGCGGAGATTCGCCGGAGAGGAGAGGAGACTCGCGGAGGTGTCGCGCGAAGAGGAGAGGAGACGTGCGGAGGTGTCGCGCGAAGGAGGTGAGGCGCGAAGGAGGTGAGGCGCGAAGGAGGAGAGCCGTGGAAGAGGCGCTGCGGAGGTCTGGAGTGGAGAGGAGAGTAGGAGATGAAAGTGCCCTAACACACAACACAAAACGTGCGTTTTGTGTAAGTGAAAAAAAAACGGTGATCTCTTAATATCGGAGATAGTCTCGCGAGTTTACACGAGTTTACCCGAGTTCACCGAGATTGCTCCGAGTTCACTAAAAAACGATTTTACCTCCGAGTTGTACAGGTAAGCTCTTGTAAACTCGTAAACTCGTACGAGAGTTTACGAGTTGTCACTAGAGATTGACAACATGTATGTGAGGCGAAGCACCTGCGTCCGTAACACGTGAAAGTCCCTTAACAGGTGTTAGCATGTGACACCTGTTAAAGCCAACCCCACTTTTTTCCCCATCCAACCACATCAAGACCAGACGTAGTACCTTTTTCCAAGTCCAACACTTGTATTTTAGATTTTAGTACTACACCGAAAAAACACTTCAATTAAAAACGACAACCCTCCCATGAAACCACTTTCCTCGCTCGCGAACAAAACCACCCATGACTTGTAATAATATAAACTCGATATGTATCTTGGAGTTAATATTCTAAAAGCCAAATCCAAGAAACCAGTAGAAAAATAGAAGCTAAAAAAACAATATAAAATTCCAAGTCGAGTAGTTTTATATACAATAGCCAAAATCTATAAACGGAGGCAACAATTTAAGCATATGGAATGGCGAGAAAAAAAAAAGTATTAAGGAAAGGAAAAATAGTAATAATAAATAATAATAAGTAATGGTAGTGTGGGTGGAAGGAAAGGGTAATGAAGTCAGTGTGAAGATGGTAGTGGAGTAGTGATGACAATGGTGATAAGAAAAAGAAAAGTTGGTGTCTCTCTAAGTCGAACTCGAAGCCAAGGAACAGAGTCTTGTAATACTAATAATGTGTTAAAATGAAACCCTAAACCATACACAACTAGGGATCTACATCATGAGGGCAGCCGCGGTGGCCAAGGCGCCCAGGTAGCCGGCGGCGGGGACTCTGCGGAGGTCGGCGCGGCTGCTGGGAGCGACGGAGGCGGGGGCGTCGGCGGGGCCGTCGCTGACGACGCCGGAAGCGGTGGGGGAGAGTGGGGAGAGGGCGGGAGCATCGGGAGCGGGGGGGGAGTCGAGGGGGGACTCGGCCGGAGAGGTGGTGCTGGTGGTGGGGGCGGAGGAGGGGCTGGTGGTGGGAGAGGAGGAGGAAGGGGAGGGCGGGGAGGAGAGCGTGGCGGCGCTAGGAGTGGGGGAGGCAGCGGTGGTGGGTGGGGTGGTGGTGGTTGGAGGCGTGGCGGCAGGAGTGGCGGTGGGAGAGGCGGCTGAGGCTTTAGCGGGCGCGGGTGTGGCTGAGGCTGAGGCTGAGGCTGAGGCTGAGGGAGTGGCGGCGGGGGTGGCGGAGGGTGACTGAGCCTGAGAGAGAGCGGAGGAGGCAAGGAAGAGGAAGAGGAAGAGGAAGAAGGGTGTTGTGGCCATGGTTGGTTTGGGGTTTGAGGGAATGAGTGGTTTTTGTTTGATGAGAATGAGAGTTATTATTATGAGCGTAATGAAAGGTGGTATATATATAAATGAAACGAAGGGTGATTTGATTCAGAGGTGAAGAGAATGGTTCGCGAATATGTGTCTTAATCGGTCATGCCGAGTCAACCGCGCCAAACCAAGCGTACGTTCTCATATCTATATTCATTCATAATCACTAGCTTTCTTCACCTTTTCAACTATCGTCTCCGATTTCCTCTCCTCTCCTCTCCACGAAACCTTTCACTTCACTTTTTTCTTTTTTTCAACCAATAATTACTGTTTCACTTTAATTATTTTTATTTTCTTCTTTCTCACTTTAATCACTTACATATTAGGCTTTTTGACCTGAGTAAATAAAAATAAATAAAAATAGGCGAATTAAATTAAAAAAAATTATTTATCTAAATAGGTAGTTTTGGACACGCAGGCGCCAACGTGGCAGTGAAAACGCCTGGGGATGGGCGTTTTTTAGAAAATTCCTCCCCCCAAGGCGCCTTCTTTTGGTGATGTGGCATGGGTACGTGTAAACGAAAAACGCATGAGGGGGAGGCGCTTTGTTGACATGGCAGGTGTGAGGAGAAAACGCCCTCCCTGGGCGCCATGTACACGTGGCATGTGTGGGGAGAAAACACCCCCCTTGGGCGCCTTGTACACTTGGTAGGAGTGAGGAGAAAACGCCCCCCCTGGGCGCCTTGTACACTAGGCAATCCTTGAAAGAGCCTGTGGGGTAGGCGTTTTCAAGATAACACCTCCCCCTGATTGCAACTTGGTGCGTACTCGTTGTTTACAAAACGCCTCAGTCCCAGGTGCTATCAAATTCAGAGTAGTTAAATGTATTGGGTTGCACAAAATTCATTTGTTCGATTTGTGGTCCAGCTCATTTTTTATTTGGTGGTCCAGGTGCAAGTAAGTAATATATTTAAATTTTTGTAATTTTAAATTTTATTTTTATAATATGTTGTATGTTTGTATCATTGTTGATTTTGTAAAGTAGAGTGGTGTAAAAATTTTAATTTTAATTTTTTTTAAATATGAAGTTGAAGACGTAAGTTATAAACGTGGAACGGGCCGTTCTGAAAAAGCACGTATTCAAAACGGGTCGTTCCGATTTTTAAAGAAAGGTTGTTAATTTATGTTTTGGAACGGCCCGTTCTCCTTTTAGAATAAGCCGTTCCAGAACAAAAATTAACCTCTGATGAGCTCTTTGAGAACGGGTCATTCTGGGTTCATAGATCAAACACCTTTGTTGCAATGAGAACGACCCGTTCTGAAATTAGAAAGGGCCGTTCCAGTGCCCCAATTAATATTTTTTTAAATGAAAAAGTTATATAATTTGATTTTTATAATTGAATATATGTATTTATTGCAATGTTAAAAATTGTGATATTATACTGAATATTTGAAATTTTAAAATTTGAGACATGTTCAACCACGATAACTCGCTCGGTTTCCTCCAGCTTCTTCTCCAGCACCGCCCTCTCCACCTCCTGCCTTGCCAGCTCCACTTTCAAGGCGGCAACCTCCTCTTCTTTGCCGCCAAGGACGACCTAGATCGGA